TTCGGAACTCAAAGTAACATACAGGGTGTTGCATATACATATTAGACAGTACAACGGGTTGCGCGGCAGACTTTGCAGGGATAGGCGCGGCTCACTGAGTAATGACAGCATATACTATCATAACTTATTGATCGAGTAGATCGCTCGCATTTTTACTAATTTTGAATTTACAGCGTTTCAATTATGACGGACTTGAATAATTGTTGCGATTATTACTAAAGAAGCTAAAACACATTAAAGAATAAAAATTAAATTTTAGAAAGTTAACACGTTAAAAGAAACAAATATGATACAACAAAATTTCTTTCGTTACCGCTTTACTTTTCGCGCGTGTTAGCGTTGTAAATTTCGATAGAATTTTTAAATTCAGAAGAAATGAAAAAGAAAAGACATGTTGACTGCAACTCCGTACTGTATTGCACTCTGGAATCAGTTTTTGAAAAAGTTGAGTCAATCTGAAACGCAGCATAGTAATCGTAATTTATTCGCAACAGCCGATGAATGATACGAACGACATTTTCGAAATAGAATAATATAAAAAATCGCTAGCAAAACTAATTCAGATCCTGATCTCGAAAGTTTGGAATGTTTTAAGAGTATTAATCACAAACGTTAATTGATGTAGACAGAAGATGACATTGTTTATTTCAAAAGTGCGGAATAAAAATATTAAGGAAGTATTTCAGTCAAAAACTTTTTATATTTGTATAAAAATTATTTATTGAAAATTATTTTTTATAAAAGATGTTCGAAATATCCGCCAGACTCTTCTAAACACAATGCGACTTTTCGCGTAAAACTTTGTCGCACTGTATTTAAAATGGCAGGTGTAATGTTGCGATTTGCTGCTTTAATTTTTTCTATTAATTTTTTTCGATTGCGTGGTAGTGTCTGATACACCTGATCTCATATGTAGCCCCATGCAAAAAATCCATGGGTGTGAGATCAGGTGATCGCGGTGGCCACTCGTGAAAATCGCTGTGGATGCCTATCCATCTGTGTGCAAATCGCTGATTTAAAATACCATGAACGAGAATGGAAGTGTGAGCTGGATGACTGTCTTGCTGAGAGATAATTTGGTCTGGCGAGATATTTAGTTGGACATCATTTAATAAATTTGGCAGTGTTTCTACCAGAAATTGTAAATATACTTCTGCTGTAACATTCACATTTTGGGGAAAAAAATGTGGCCCAATAATTTGATTGTCCACAATCTCCATCCAAACATTGATACTAAACTCAAAATTAGTAAAAATGCGCGCGATCAACTCGATCAATAAGTTATGATGGTATTTATATGCTGTCATTACCTACTGAGCCGCGCCTATCCCTGCAAAGTCTGCCGCGCAACCCGTCGTACTGCCCAATATGTATATGCAACACTCTATACGTCCGTACTGTTTCAGAGATTTGTTACGACCCGCCGTCGTGGTTTCACGACGGCGTTTTTATACTCGTTAAAATTTGGATTAGAGGAAATGTCTTAGCAACAGCCCTGATTCCGCAAAACTGCAACTAGTTGCAGTTTTTGAAGGTCTTTTTGACCAGACGTCTCTCAACTAGACACTGACGGGTCTCTGATATCTCACGTAAGCCGGAAATTCACTGTACCATCAGCGTTTTCGCGTTAGGTTTCAGATCATTTAAGAAATTTATTTAAAATATATAAAAAAACTTTTGGGTTGTAATTGGGCCACAACAGGATCTATAATATTTTAGCTGCTCGGCCCACTCGCCTTAGAAACGCTTGCTTTTTAACGTTTATCGTACGTTGTCGGCTTATGTTTGGAAGTGTCGGTGGAAGCGAGACAAAAGATGTATTTGCTAGCTTCTACACTGCGGTCGGCCTCGCGCACACGGACGCGTGACGTCTGCATGACTTGTGTGTGCCCCCTCCACTATGGTACCAGCGTGCCCGAGTTAGCATCTCTGTCCCGAACTCAGTGCTGCAAGATCGAACATCCTGCAACAAAGCAACACAGTGACGCAAAATCGAGCATTCTGCTATTCTGCATCATGCGCAACATGAGGGAAAATCCCAACCATGGCGGCACCACACAAGTGAGCATCGCTGACGTCACGCGTCCGTGTGCGCTCGCCGTTCCAACTACGTACGATAAATGCTAATCGAGTAGAGCGAGTCGTTAGAATATTAGATTTTTTTTTTTTTGTGGTAAGGCAGGGGAAATCTTTTATAGATACCCACGGGTTTCGGGAGAAGACCCTTGTTATGTGAGAGTCTCCCAGGAAAAGTTCCCGGGCATACCCACTAAAACCCCTGCCGGTAGCCTTCCTAGACCATCGAGAGAGGGGGTGAGGCATCACCACTGGTATTTTTCTCACCCCCCCCTCAGGTCTGGCCGATCTATGACCTCTTTTCGGAAGGGGGACCTTGTAACAACAAGTCCCCTATCATTCCCTTCTCTACCGAGGAAGGCCGGGCTACCACGGCCTTCCCCGCCTCCCGTGTTATGTGGAGGGCTGAGGCCAGTCAGGAGCCCCCGCTCTCGACTGACCCCCCGCCGGAAAGGGGATAGAATCCCCCTCCTGGCCTGTCCTTTTTGGGAGGGCCCTATTTGAGACCTCCCCGGGATCCTCCCAGGCTTGGTATGAGTGGTGGACATAGTGAGCACCACCGCCTAAGGGGATCCCGTTAATTTACTTAGGCCTTTAAGTGGGCCAACGTGTGGCGGCGGGGAACAACTCCCCTCCTGCGCCGAATTGCAGGAGGGGGAGGAGCGCCGCCGCTTCCGCCGCCGTTTTCTCTTCGTCTGCTCCTTGGGGGGTGGGGGGGCTGTGTTGGAGGAGGAGCGTTATCCTCCTCCACAGCCCTCCCTCTCCTCACTCTTTCCGCCTCTTCCTTCTGCAACATGATTTTGTCGCAGAAATCGGAGGCAGCCTTCCATTGTTCCTCTCCCTCCAGCATTGCTCTCACCAATGCCGGTAGGGAAAGGTCCTTGCCGACCACTGCGGTCAGGACCCGACGCTCGACTTCCCATGAGAATATTAGATCCCGTGTTCGAGACCTGCTTCTTGCAACTTTTTTCCGCATTTGTTCTAAATATTACAATCAAAAAAATTATTAGATAACTTTTTTTTTTCTTTTTGTTAAAAAATATTTTATATTTATTAAACCCGTGTGGGGTTGCCGGTCCCCCATCGGGCGCCTCTCCAGGTGGCGGATTGGAGAATGCTCGGCGGTTCGCCGAAGGATACCAGGGAAATTAAATACCTGAGGTGGACCAAAACCGGCAATAGAACAATGAATAAAACGTGTACTGAAGTAAATACCCCAGGTGGTATGCCAGGCACTGACCTGGGCAATCTATCCTCTAAGGAGGCAGGCCCCAAGGATTCTGGAGGGGGAGGGCCAACCATTACCATTGTTAACTAAAGAATATAAATATGTAGGTGAGAACAAAGGGAAAAATGAGGGTGGAAAGGAGGCTTTTGGGAGAAGCTTCATGACGCCAAAATCTCCTCAGGCAGTACTTAAAACTGTTATATCCAGGATGGGAATTAAGTCTCATGCCTCTTCAGCTAGAATTAGGTCATCTTCGTTTAGTGGGACCTCCACTACTTCTTATAGGGACATCAACTCGTCGTATGCATCGAATATTACCAACGAAATAGAAAAAGAAAATAAAATTGAATCCACTGGAGATGACGGTAACGAGTGGAAAAAAACACAGAAAAAAAAGAGACCACGTAACAGCCTTTTTTTTTTTGCGCGAGATAGGGGAAATGCGTTTACGCATCCCGCCGGGCCGTCCTGACGGGAGTGTGGGACTCTGGTCATCCTGACACCAATTAAGGAGATTGCAAGACGACCAACTACCCATTAAAACCGCCACCCCGTTCACAAGGCTTAACCTCCTCTGCCCTGTTGCGATAGCATCATCGGGAACGCTCGAGAACATAACTTCCGATAATCCATCGGACCACGCCCGGATAGAAGGGCGCCACGTACCTATTCTGGTCCATCTGTTGTTGTGGACCAGCCTGCATTGCGCGTCTTGTCCCCTCGTTACGGCGTTGAGGGGGGAGAGTGTTTATGACGCATCCACTGCTGTTAGGACGATGAGGATGACGCCGAAGGGGCGTAATCCCCATCGTCGCTATCAAAGTCGGATCCGAGAAGCCGTCGTGCCGCAGCCTCC